ACAGACTCTTAAATGCATGGGAGTAGGCTAGGAGGTTTTGAAGGTTTACAGGAGGGAACTGGGCCCATAAACACTCCGTATAAGAGGTTTTATAGCTGTTAGACAGTCCCTCTCCTTCCCTCCACCCTCTCCCTGGCTGCATTGAGCCAGGCCAGAGACACCGCTGCAGTGCACAGAAGAAATGAGGGCCACAGGCTCTGTCACCATTCCCTTCATCACCCTCCCTGGCCATGCTGAGCCCGGGTGACAAGTGACAGATCTCCTGGGTCCCTCCCAAGGATTACTATGCACACACACAATGTCGGCTACATTGAAATAACACTGCCCGAACCCTCCCATTTGCTTTTCAGAGGGAAACTCTCCAACCAAGAATTGCAAACAGGCATCCACTTCTCTGGGACCACCAGCCAGCTCAGTGTCCACTCCCAGCTCTGTGTCCAGCAACTACAGGCAGGACAGTGTGGTCCTAACAAGGCGGGCCGATATACCTCACTTCCCCCCTTTCCTCCCGTGCCTCTGGTCTTCAGAACATGTGTTCTTCCTGGGGACTGACCTACACGGTCAGTTACATTAGGGAAGACTTGGATTTAATGGGATTTCATCTGGGCAGTTGGAGAATCTCCCCATCTCTACGATCGCTCACATATGGAAACAGTGGCTGTGATTCATAGCAAACCGAGAAGAAGAATGAGATTCATGTGGCCGCTGTGCCTTCTGTTTGTCCCATGGCACCGTCAGGCCGTTACTCACACCCACGACCAAGGTGACACAGTCACTGTCTAGTACTTACTCACTTATATCCTCAGGGCTGGGGGGGCTCCTTCTCAGACAGATTGTCCTCCTCTCCCTTGGTGCCTCTGTGGGGACGCAGTAAGGACAAAAGTACAATGCCTACCATTGCCCAGAGCCTCTGGCTCCAGCTTGCCCCTTTCCAGTTGGATCTGGGATTTGTGGATGCGTTTGTGTCTTCATGCATAGAGGCATATATCCGTGTGCATGCCCATGTAGACGTTTATAGCTAACCTACCTATCTGCTGTGAATGTGGTGATTAGTATCACACGCCCTATCAGTGCATCAGGCTTACACACAGAGCCCTCAGGCACACACAAATAGGCCTAATGGCAGCTTCACGGACACCACCCCGGACAGCAGCTACAGAGGAAGCTGACTCCTCTGTTCCTCCCACACTCCATCCCGCCCACCCCCTCTCCTGAGGAGAGCCTCCTCCTGAAGGTCACAAGGTCAGGCCCCTCTCCCAAGGCCTGTTTCTTCTGTCTCCACACCGGGCCACTCAGACCCCTGACCCCTCTCTCTTTTCTGATAGGATGTTGGCCTTCAGGTGCCCGAGACACTGGCTCTGGCTCTTCCTCTTCTCATTCGAAATGGGACCAGACCCCTCGGACTTCAGACCCCACGGATAATGCATGTCCATGGGGAATTACCCGTTCCATCGTCAGGATGGGCCACCTAGCAGCCTAGGCAGAAGACCTGAGCCTGCTGCCATCCAGCCGATGCTGACTCCTGGTGACTCATTTGCTTCTGAGAAGTCCCCTATGCCAGAGGCTTCCCTGGGCTGCTTCTGTCTCTTATACCAGCCCTGGCTTCTGTGACATGGCTGGGCAGATTTGAACCACCAGCCTTTCTGTTAGTGGTCAAGAACCAACTGTTGGAGCCACCCAGGCCCTTACCAGTTCTGAATCAGAGCTGCCCTAGTCTAGGGCCGAATAGAGCTTCCCATGGGGTTGCCAGGCTGTATGTCTGTATGGAAACTGACGGCCGCCTCTTTCCCCATCGCAGGGCTGGTGGCTTAGAACTGCCCACCTTGCCATCAGCAACCGCAGGCTTAACCCACTGCATCACTGAGCTCCTTCTCTTTACCTTGAGTTAACGGCCCCATTTGTATCCCTGGCCCCATTTGTATACGCCCCAGGGACCTGAGTTGGGGCCAAGCCCCAAAAGGGGGCTAGTAGATGTGGGAAGAAGGAAGAAGCCCATGCCTGTGGCACCGCTGAGCTTGGGCTGCGTCTCGTGTCCCATCCTCAAGTGACTGTCTCCAGCTGGGACGACACCCACTGAGAGCACTTGTGCCCCCTGTGTGCTGCAGAAGGGCACAGCAGGGGCATTTGTGGCCTGTGGCAACCTTTGACAGAGATGAAAAACCCTCCCTCGCCTATAAAGCCACCCCAGGAGCTGTTCCCGCCCCTCTTCCAAAGCTTTATAGAATTCCAGTGCGGGAAGTGGGCAGGGGAGCCGAGGGCTGAGGAGCCGGTGGAATCTTCCCCCAAAGTATCCCTGCTTTGTCTACACCCTGGGAGACCCAGGGACGCTAGAGAAGCTATCTGCCTCAGAACCAGTGGACGGGGTCCTCTTCGTTTCCCTTCCAACTAAAAGGCCCCCCAGAGTACCCCCATCCCGCCAACTCAGTCTGCTGCACGGTGGCATCAGGGGTCCATGTGGTCCCCACACCCAGAGGGCACAGCAGGAGGGTGGGTGATCCTCAGGAGGTCCCTGGGCCACGCAGAGCAAAGCCAGCCTGCGTCTCCATCTAGGCCCTCGGTGCTATTGCTATCGAGTCAGGACATCTTGCTATGAGAGTGGAATGTGGAGGTGGGGGAGGGAGGAAGATGCCGGCGGGTGGTATGTGAGGATCATGGTCCCCAAGGTGTGCGCTGACCCAGCTGCTGGGCGCTCCTCCAACAGTCCGGCTCTGGGTCTGACAGGCCGTTTTTATGATGATAATTAACTTTTTATAGATTTTTCTCCCGAAGCAAGTTAAATCGCATCTGCTCGGGCAGACATCCAGGCCCAGGGCAGGCGGATGGAGCAGCCCAGGGCCCTGAGGCCCTGGCGGGCAGGCCTTCCTGCTATAAAGCTCTGCGTCTAATAGGAAATCCAGGCTGGGGTGTGGGGCAGCCTGGGCGTTTTTCTGTAGGGTGTGCCGTAGGATGCCGACTTTGCTTCTGCATCCTTTTTGTGTGGACGCGGAGTTCTGGGTCTGGGCAGACGGCCTTTGGGGGGAAAGTCATCAGTGAAGTAGAACGTGGCAGTGGGGTGACGTCAGCCTGTGGCTGGTGCAAGCAGACAGACAGGAAGACAAAGAACCTCAGCCAGCCAGCTGTGAGCAGGCAAGGGGCAGGGCCCAAGGAGGCTGGCCAGCAAGTAGCAGAGGTCCCCACAGGGAGAAGCAGAGGCCAGCCAGGAACCTCGGCCCTAGATGACTGGTAACACTGTGTAGCTTATCGTTATGAAATAATGGTGAAATAGGGGCACAAAGAAGAGCAGGTCCCCCAAGGCCTGGGGGGACAGGCTTCCTCCTCTCAGTAAAGACTTCCACTGGGTTCGTCTGCCACCAGCATAGCAACCCATCCTGGGGCCGCTTCACCTCCCAGACCCTCCTGCTTCAACCCTGGCCAGAGGAACCCTTGCGGCACGGGCTGCTAGCTGCAAGGTCAGCAGTTCAAAACCACCAGCCACTCCTCAGGCGGAAGACGAGGCTTTCTCCTCCCGTTAAGAGTTACAGTCTCCACTGGAGATCCCCTTGCAGAGGGGTCTCGGGGAGGAGATGAGCCAGTCAGGGTGCGATGTAACAATGATGAGAAATACAACCTTCCTCTA